AATTTGACAAAAATGCAAAAATAATTTTTCACAAATCGCCTAAGTTGAGATATGCTTTGCAAAGTGCTTTTTATAAATTTGGTATAACCGCACATCTCACTTTCTACATAATTATGAGACTATTAGTTGTTTTACACCAGATTAATTGCTTCTTTTTTTAATTATCTTATGTTAAAAAAAAATTGGTTCAAAAAACTTCATAACCTTTTTCAAAATTTATTTTAAAGTTTTAAATTCATTTATCTCGAAATCACTAAAACAGACTCAAGTCGTTTGTGCTTAAAGCCACTGAATTTTACAAAAAATTGATGAGGAAACTTCAAGGCTCTACGAACAACAGGCATTAAACTCCAAGAAAATCCCAGAATTGACATCTATGTTGCACTTTCTGGAAACAAGCTTTCAGGCGTTAGAAACTTTGATGGGCCTGGCAACAAAAACAAAACATGAAAAGCGAGGCAACCTAATGTGATGAAGGTATAAGAATGTCCAATTTGTAAATTGCACAAAATGTACTTATATCAAAAATTCAAAGCCATGAGTATTGCTCAAAAATGGGCAGCAGTAAGAAGCCACAACTTATGCGCAAACTATGTCAGTAGCAATTATGTGAGAAACAAGTGTATTATAAAGAACACTTGCATGAAATACAACAAAATCGTCACAGCCATGATGAAAGTAAAATAAAACCATTTAGCATTTTTATTACCTACAGCAAATGTATGCGTTAAAAATATACCATTGCGAGCCCTAATAGACTAAGAGTCGCAGTGGTCGTTTATAACAAAGGAAGTTGCAAATCAATTACAACTCAAAAGAACAAGAATTGATGCGATAATAAAAGGAATCGGTGCAAAAGAAATAAGCTCTGTAAAAAATAGTGTGAGCATAACAATTACACCAAAGTAACGTGCATTTTACGTCTTACGTTTTGGAACACATAACAAAAATTCTGCCGCAAAAGTTGAAAAACCAGCAAAAATTGATTTTATATTAGGGTCAGATGTCATTGGTGAAATATTGCTTAGCAGAATAAAAGAAGGACAATCTTACCATCAAATAGCTCAGCAAACATTCTTTCGATTGACTGAAACTGGTGCTAGAGAAGTAAAAGCCCTTAAAAATAGATATGTCATGTTGCACAAGTCAAACAATTTTGACTAAAGAAGCTCCGAAGAATGAAATTGAGAAAGAAGATGAAGAATGTGAGGCATTTTATGAAACAACTACTCAGCTTAATAACGAGGGGAGATATATTGTTAGAATCCCATTCAGAGAAAACTATAAAGCCGCATTTCACATCTTTATGAAAAGATGTGAATTGGGCGACCAAGATGAATCATACTATCTACCGTATTTTATGGATCCCCTACAACATAAAACAACATAAGTATCAATGATATCAACATAAAACATCATAAGGACTGAGCCTAAACTTCAACAAGATTTAACTTCAATTATAACCCGATGGAGAAGACGCAAGTATGCTTATATTAAAGAAATGTAATGCCAGATATTAATCAATGACGAAGACAGCAATATGCAAAAAATTGTCTGAAGATTTTCATCAAATGATCATATTCAAGAGTATACGTTAACCACAGTTACCTAGGAACAGCTCAGCTCCATATTTAGGAATGAAAACTGTGCTAAAACTAAGCACAGATGAACAAAATACGTTACCTGTGGCAGCAAAAACTGTCTGGCTTTAGACTTAACAAATGAGCAGGTAACAACCCACAAATCGTAAACAATACAATGCTGACAAAATGCGTTAAAATGGAAAATACACAAACTGAGTCACGTAAGATATTAGGAATACCATGGTACCCAAAAGAATTCAGAATAAAAAGCGACTTTCCGAACAAACGAAAATATATCCCAAAATGGTTTTGCTCTCCGAAATTTCCAGAACTTTTGACTCGGTTGGGTGGGTAGCACCGGTTGCATTAACCGCCAAAATAATTCTACAAGAAATATAGAACAAAAATGTTGATTAGAATGCAATAATACCGTCACACCTACACGATAGATATATCAATTTGCGAAGCCAATTGCAATTTATAGATCATGTAAAAATTCAAAACAAAGTTAGCATCGTCTTAATTACTAACGAAACTGCTTAGTAAGGTTGCAGATGGCTCCAGTAGAGCCCAAGCAAGTGGAAAACCTTTGTTGCCAAGCGCGTTAATATGATTCAAAAATCACCAAGGGAGATTTTTTGGAATTATGTTCATACAACTAATAATTCCGGTGACTTGGTGTCAAGAGGAGTCTGCCCGGAACAAATGATTGAAAATATACTGTGGCAGTCAGGACCGGAATGGCTACATAATGATTGTATCAGACAAGGCACTTCGACCACCACAGTTGGAGTTGAAAATGGGTTTCCTTACGTCAACAAGAACACGAATCAGGATTCTTTTCATTGAAAGATTTTCATAATTACCAAGGCTACAAAGAACGATTGCCATCTGTGAACGATTTTGTACTAGTGCAAAAAATCCAAAAAGGAAGAACAGTACACAACCAACAACAACCTAATCGGAAAATTGGATCCTTGGAGAATTTTGGATTACCAACTCCGTAAAGTTAAAAAACGAAAAGTTGAGTGTGTCATTTGTCGCCAATATAGCGCCCGCCCAAACACACAACTTATGAGTTCTGACTTTGCTAGTCCAATACAACTTAAATCAAGCATGTTGCGTAAAGCCAAGATAATAAAAGGTTACGTGTATGTGTTTGTTTGCTTCGTAGTTAAAGCCTTTCATCTTGAAGGCCAATCTAGCGAGGCCTTTATTGCCGGATTAGAGCAATTTATTGCAAGACGAGGAAATGTGGCGCATATTTACAGTGACAATGGTACAAACTTTGTAGGAGCGTTTAACCAGTTAAAAACCAAAGAAAAATTGGACCATTTTATATCAGAACAGTCAATTCAATGGCATTTTATTCCTCCAGGCACTCCCCATTTTGGTGGAGTATGGGAAGTTGAAGTAAAATCGGTAAAACGCCATCTCCCAAAAACTATTGGCAATACTAAACTCACATTTAAAGAATTAGGAAACCTCTAGCAAAAGTCGGAAATAATTTAAATTCCGATCCACTTACACCATTTAGAAGAGACATAGATGATGTAGAAGCGTTAGCACTAGGGCACTTTTTGGTAGGTTCAAAACTATTCAATGTACCTTCGGCGTACCAACGGCTTCGACGATGGGAGCTTGCAAATCAAATGAATCAGAAATTCTGGAAAAAAATGCTGAACAAATAAGCCACCCCACCGCGACAATTATTTGGGGTGGATAATGGATTTTAGTTTTGCATTCAGTTTTTTAAAAATTATGCCAAGTGTATTTTAAGCATAATTGAGTTTTCAAAAAGCACTGACAAGTCTTTGAAAAAAATCTTCCAAAAACTTTCATTTTTATGGGTGAAAAAATTTTGAACACGTAAAATCATCAAAAAAAAAATAGTCGAATAGAATTGTTATGTAATTACGTTTAATGTAGAAACCTCTGGTATCGAAATATTCGTCTTTAAATTTGGGGAACAAAATAACATTGTTATGCTACTTTGGAGTTGCCATCTGTATGTATTTTTTTGTGAGCGACAATGTTTCTATTATATAAATTTACATTTGTTATATTCAACAATTGCCACTGATTTCGTCAATTTAGTAATTCTTATCTTAACTATTAAGATGCAAACAGTTTTTTTTCAATTTTGTAATTAAAATATTGTATTGGTAAATTTTACAAATTATTTTAGTGACAGAATTTCTCTTGAATTTTTCGAAAGTAATTTATACAAATAATGTGTTTCTTTTCATTTCATAATATACCTTTAATTGGTTTTGTGTAATGTTTTGTTCTTTAGTCTATTTAAATCGTATAGGTGTCCTTAACTTTTTTTTAATAGCTATTTTGAAATCATATCATATTGATTCTGGAATTTCAAGGCCTATAATCTTTTACCTAAAACCGTGTTTCAGTTTTGTATTTATTTTTTAATTTCTAGTCAAGTTCTTTCATAAAATGCGGATAGCCAATTTCTTTTTCACCGTTGTTTATATTTCGTTGACTAGCCTCGTAATATTTCGTTCTCCGGCAAGTTATACCCTAAATTCGGTGCTTTTAGTCGCATTTGAGAATAATTTTGTTTCTTTTCTGCTTAAGGATCTTATTTGTTATTGTTATATTGCTTCTGTTACTTAAGGATCTCGGTTGAAACGCTTTGTTTAATTTTCTTGTGGTTTTGGCATTGTTTGTCAAATCGATAAATAATAAAGAGGGTGAATTTGAAAATCAGAATTATATATCAAATTGCTACATATTCTGACTATAGTAGTCAATAAAAACAAGATATTAATACAGGTGTTCCTTACATTGAAGAATCTTTCTCCTTCATTTCTTTAAAGTCTCCTTCATTTGTTAAAAGGAATACAATTTATATGCAAAAATTTTTTTTCCTCAAATTCTATATAATTTCTCAATGTTTATATAATTTCCACACCACCATCAACCTCACTGTATTTATATATTCAGTACAACACCGATTCTGACAAAAGCCTGACTCTTTTTCTCCAAGATTGTTTTTTTAACTTTTCTACAATTCTAGCACTAAAATATTACACTATCTAACACGGTTATGCTTCTCAAATTTCGGTCTTCTAATAAGTCGCGCTTTTTAAATAGTTTAATTATTACTCCTTTTTTACATTCTTTGGTGATTTCTTCGTCTTACCATATTATTTTCTCTACGTTTGTTATTTCGCACGTTAATTTTTTTTACTCAGTAATTAAAACGGTTGTTTGGAGTAAGTTTAGGCGTTAGCAAACTCAATATGCTTCAATTTTGGAGCCGAAATAAAAAATTTATATTTCCTTATATTTCTTTAAGTTTTGCTTAATAATGTGAAGACCTATTAAAAATAAGATATAAGTATTTCTCCACACTTTTAAATTTTTTTTGTTTTAAAATAACCAAATTTTTTTCAGATTTTGATCAAGATGGATTCATTAATCAGTCAGACATAAAATCAATTCTCGCGATAATGACAAAAAATGAGTTGAGTCCAGAGGAACAACAACAAATCGCAGAAAAAGTTATAGAAGAAGCTGATGTTGATGGAGATGGGCAACTTTCTTTACTAGAATTTGAGCATGTTATTTTACGTGCACCCGATTTTTTGACTACATTTCATATACGAATTTAAATTTTTCTATATAAAATTTAAATCAAAATTTTAAATTTTTGAACGGTGACTTATCCTACCTACATTGGTGAACAATTATTATAATAAAATACACACTTCAATAACTTTCAAATGTATTAGAATATAGCATTATTTAAGATTTTCTTTTCTTTCAGATACTACTGTTACGTTTTCTTAAAATTAAAAAAAGTACAATATAAATTTAATTTTTAAATACTTTTTGCGCTTGCATTGCAAATTGATGCGTGCAATTACTGCACACGATAAATATCATTTATCAAGTATCATATACATTATGTATTATATATCATTATTAGAAAACCAAAAGCTAAAAATTCTTTTGTCATTTTTAATATATATTCAACTTTAAATTTCTCTTAAAGAAGATGTCGTAAAAAAATATTTTCTAAAAGAAATGGGTTGGTGTACGAACAAAATTTTGCTTATTAAGACAAATCGAAACAGGTTATCACAAATTATCTTATATATTTTGATATAGATAAGATAATAAAATATATATTATCCTATATATTTTGTTATCTTTTATATCTTATTATATATAATTAAATATTATTCTTATATTATTGCACTACAATTATTTACTCATGTAAATAATTGTAGTGCAATAATAGTAAAAATTACTCTGCTAACATTGTTAGGCCATGCTAATTGTAGAGTTGACACAACATAATTTACATGAGTTTCTGCAGTCTATGCGGATTTTATGAGAACTGATTTTCTTTTATCGAGACCATAACATGTTACAAACAAACTAATTATCCTAATCCAGTTTACAAATTAAATACAAAATTTGATTCTTTGTTTACCAGTGTATATTCTTCTCGGAATATTTGTAATAGCATAATCATAAATTACGTTGTAGTAAAAATACATATCAGAAGTCCACTAATGAAGTAATCACACGTAACAAGCAATTTAAAGAGCGTCGTTTTAAATTAGTCTCTACAGCCCAAAATTCTATTTTTTTTGAACGATGAAGATAAATGAATTCTTATTTGAATTTTCAAAAATATTCAAAAAGCAAAAACACTTTCAAGCAAAAGGATATGTGTAAAGGACAAAAAATATTCCTATGTATGAAAGTTCTTTACTCAAATCGCAACAAAAAAATACAGCTGAAATAAAATAGTGATTTTAATACTCCGAAAAATTATGCTGCCATTGCTTATTGATAATCTTTACGAAATAAATTTGTGATCATTCCTTCATGATTTGTGATCTACGTTGTAGCTAAGTTCGTAATTCGTAGGATTCTACTTGTGTGGTTCATGATAGTGCTGAAAAATAAACAAAAACATTAAAAAAGTTTGTAAAATAAAAACAATCTTGATTAAAAGAAGTTTCGCATAAATTAGTACATAATTATAGCACAAATTGTAGTAAAATTGTATTATTACCTGGCTCAGCAATTATAACTTCTAAGTTAAATCGTGTGTTAGTAAAATATTATTGCAACTTTTAGTATCAGTATTTCATTATCAGTATCGTAACTTTACTATCAGTCATAATAAATAAAAAATTTGTAGAAACTAAAAAAAAATTTTTCACAATTTGTGGGGTAAAGTGTTCTAAACCAAAAAAAAAGAAAAACTACACCGTACAAATACAGAATATTTTTTAATGTTAAGCAATATTTTGTAAAGAGTGCAAGTTTCTCGAGCAAAATCATTTTAAGAGCGGCTCATTTTCATCTTGATGGTTTTGTTAATAGATAAAATTGTCACATTTAGGGTTCAGAAAATTTACAAGGGATTGTTGAGGAACAAATGCATTCACAATGATATGCAACAAAATGCATTCACTATGATATGTAACAAATGCATTCACAAAAAATATATGTATATGTAGCGCTATAGCGGTAGTCTGGATATTATTACGTCACGTAAGCATTGCTACTAATTATTTTATAAATGTCTAAAATACGCTACACAACAACTAAGTAAAGATTCAACATAAATAATGACGTACAACTTATGCATATTTTCTGTCAAAATAATTTTTACCTTATATATATACATATATGAATAAGAATACCTAATTAATGTAAAAAAATAAGAATTTTAAGTCATA